TTTCCACAATTAGAGGATGGTCATACTTTATGGTGAAAATTGCTGCTTTCTGCAATTCTTGTTTCAAGTCTTCCAACGCTGTTTTTACTTCTGTAGATACAGGAAAAATTTGATTTTTCATTATAGGATACATTTTGTCGGAGAAATTGGGTATCCAGTGAGCATAATATGCCAAAAGTCCTACAATCCTTTTCTGAGACTTCAGATCTTTTCGAGGTGGCAAATCTCGCAGAGCTTGAAATCTATCAGGGTCCGGCTTCAAATGTCCTTTGGATATTTTATATCCAAGCAGCTTTACCTTCTTAGTAGCAAATACACTTTTACCTTCGTTGAAAATTATTCCGTATTCCAGAGCTACCTTCTTAAAACGCAACAGATTTTTGTTATGAGAGTCTACATCTGTACCACATATTGTTACATTGTCGACATAGGCAAACGTGTCAGACAACTTTTCTTTTTCTATAATAGTGTCTATGGTTTTCTGGAAGCAAGCTACACCGTTAGTGACTCCAAAGGGTATTCTGCAAAACTGGTAGAGTTTACCGCAAACTTCGAAAGCTGTGTATTTCTTTTCGCTCTTTTGGATAGGTATTTGGTGATAAGCACTCTCCAGATCCAATGTGCTAAAGATTTCATACCTGGAAATTTTCTCCACCATTTCATTCACTCTTGGCATTGGGTAAGCGTCCAGGTAAGTAAATCTATTTATAGTTTGGCTATAATCAACGACCATTCGCTTTTTGTGCCGCTCATTGGTCGTGACAAGGACTTGAGCTCTCCAAGGTGATTTGGAAGGTTCAATGATACCGTTTCGTATCAATTTCTCAACTTCAGCTTTGATAACTTGTGTGCCTTGGAAGGAGTAACGACGAGATTTAGTAGCAATAGGTCTGCAGTCAGGGGATAAATTTGCAAACAATTGTGGTGCCTCTACCTTAACAGCATTGAGCGAGCAAACATGAAATGCAGGTCGACCACCGTTGAATGGAATTATCAGTTCTTTGTGTAATGCGAGAAAATCCAACCCAAGCACTACATCAGTGCAAAGTTCATCTAGTAACGAAAGTTTGAATTGATTGTAAACTTCCCCTTTGTATTTTAGCGATGCAAACATGTGGCCTCTTGTGACGCTTGACAGTTGAGATGACGCCATAGAAATTTTGTGCTTTGAAAGTATCACTGACCAATCATACTCTCTTGGTATGTTTGAAGAAATGTAACTTTCCCCGCTACCTGTATCAATTAGGGCTTTTAGGTTCACGCCATTTACAGAGATGTGTACTGTTGATCTAGTTAAACCAGGTACAAACGAAGTAGCAATTAGTGATGTTAGATGTGTAGAGTCCTTTATGCAGCTACAATCTCTACAAGATTGTCTTTTAATCTCGTAGCTAGGAGATGTTTTGACTTTTGTTTTGGTTATAGGTGTGTTGCGAGACCTACAAACCCTCGAAAAATGTCAATTTTTCCCGCAAGAATGACATGCAGTCTTTGGCAGGGCATTTCGCTCTGAGATGCCGACTACCTCCGCAAAAGAAACATTGAGTATTCACTGTTGCGATTGTTTCTGAGTCCACCATTTCTTCGGTTGAGATTGCCGATGACGAAAGAGATGACTCTACCAAGTGAGAAGGAGCACTAAACGAACTGGATTCTTTTTGGGCCATGTCGAGTGTCTTGGCAATATCTAAAGCCATTTTCAAGTCAAGGGATCTTTTCTCAAGTAGCCTCTGTCTAATTACACTCGAACGCATGCCGCTTCTTGTTTGCAAGTTGCAAGCAAATGTCTGGCCAATGTTTCATTAGGGGCCTTCACAAATAAATTCTCAAGAATAGATTTTGCTTCTGAGTATTTAGAACAGCTAGAAATATACTGATATAAGCATGGAGACACAAAGTTGCATAGCAGATCAAACTGTTCGCTTTCACTAGCCCCTACCTTCGTTGCGAATCTGTCAAAACAAGAAATCCAATGTTTTATGTAACTGAAGCATTAGTTGAACTGGGATCAGCATCCAGTCTATTGGAACGCAAAAACTTGTCCATTTAAGAATGGTTTTATTGAAATAAATTGTAATATACTAAATCAATTCCTAACCTTAGAAACAAGGCTTTATTTCAATAAAACACGACTGATACACACAATAACACAGTACAGACTGGTCACGATTCACAGACTCGATAATGCGAACACGATTACAAATACTAGCACGATTACAAGCACGGGTAACACACAAGTTCATTTAACGATCACTCCAATGCCTATATACTGCATGCCTATATACTGTGACATTCTGTGTCAACGTTGACGATACAGTATCACTTAATGTACTTCTATTTCATTTTTGACATTTCTAATTCTTTAATTACTTCCCATATCTTGTACCTCTGAGAAACACATGGTCCATGAAGTAGATCTTTTACAAGTCTTTCCCAAATTAATTCTTACGCATGGAGGACAGGTGTTCCTCTAATGACGATGTCATACTATCACATCTTTAAATGGACAAGCTCTCATCCAAATCACAAGAAAGATGATGCTTATTATAAGCTATCCCGACAAGATCAACGTCTAATCTTTTGACTCAGGACAGGACACAACAGAATGCGACAACATATGTAGCGGAAGCTCAAAATTGGAACCAGTGAAATCTGCCCATGTGGAGTGTCACCAGAGAATGCTGCACATGACCATGTCCTCCAAAACTGCTCTCTTTACCAAGAAGCCGTTCAAGACACTGGCCCCTAAACACCCCAATAGGAAGAAAACTATATGGAGAGCTCCCTGATTTGGAAACCACTGCGCAGTTCTTCTCATGTAGTGGTCTAGTCATCTGAACGATTCAACATAACAATGAGAACGAAGAAGAAGAAGACATGTGTAAATAACTATTTTATGGATTCTATGGAGCTGTTCCTAATCTCTGACTGAACTATTTTAATATGTTACGTATTTATTGTCTTATAAATGACAATGATGGCAATGTCTTCCAGTGATAAGATGTAGATCTAGTTCTAGTGTTAGCCTAGATATGGTAAATCTACTAAATAATCATATCAATTTGTGAATTATTGTAACAATTTTTATTACCGTATAGATCTATACTATTTTCATGTTCAAATTACAATGAAATCAACGAGGCATTTAAGCCTAAAGTTAACAACTCTGCCACGTGACATGGAAGAAATACGAAACAACCCGATTCTATGTATACTATGTACTTACTAAATTGTATTTGTCGTCTTTCTTTAGAGGGCCAACTTTTCATTAGACAATTATTCAATCTGTACCAAATATTCCCCCCCCCCCAATCCCCATCAACAAGAATTGTATCCAATAGCACGGTAAGATTAGAATAAGTCACCATTTCATAAACTATAGAGGTTAGTGAGTTGGATTTTGTGTGGGTTATACCATGCTGTAATAGTCACTGAAAGCTACAACGCAAGAATAAATTCCTTCTAACACACATAAACAAATCAATTGATTGAGATTAGGACAGGTGGATGGACAGACTACAGATAATAATAATAATCTTTATTGTCCGTATGGAAATTAGTCTTACAATTTGTGCATTGCACCAAACAAAAACATTATAACTATAAGAAACCAAAGTGTATATTCACACCAGACTCACTCATACAACAAATAATGATTTTTACGTTTTCGACGCCGCAATAAATGTCAGCAAAAGATAACAATGTATTTATTTTGTACATTTTAATGGACTACAAGTTTACAGGTTGTGCCAAATATCTGATAATGATGTGTACTGGAGAGCATTAGGTTATTATACCATACTGAAATGGTCACTGGGCCGTTTTGACACATCGAAGAAAACTCTTTTGAACTTACATATTGATGACCAGCCAACCTTATGTAACTTACATAAATGACCAGCCAACCTTATGTAACTTACATAAATGACCAGCCAACCTTATGTCAGATAGAACACTCTAGTGTGCACATAACGACGTAGCATCTTTCTCCTTCTCCGCGTCCAATACAGAGCACAGCACCCCTCCACCACCCGAGTGATCTCTTACCAAATTAAAGACGTACATTTCAAACACATAAAGGAAATCAATTGTACTTTGCAGGTGCCACACAGAGTAGAGAAGGGTGTCACTGTGCCCTAGGGTAGATTTAGTAGTGGCCAAACAATAAGCTTGTCGTGGACATGATTTATCAACACGTAAGCTCTCTATAGGGATCCCTTAATGAACTGTAGTCATGGAGGATAAATTTTTTCTTTGTGATCTACTAATTAGTACTTATATTGAATCAGAAAATATAATTTAGATTTATCTCCTATCACTGCCTCTCCATAGACATTTAAAAAAAAATATGATTATCTATCAAATGAATCCGCCTATATTGATCGATGCATTCATATTTTACCATTACAAAGTCATGAGATGAGAAATCGATGAAAGAAAAATGTAGTTAAAAATTACAAAATGTAGACATTTCTTTGTCTATGATTTTTCTAAGATTTTCTTAGCAAAGTTATTAGTAGTTGCTTTTTAGAGTAATCGCAGTGCAGTATTCAGACTATATGTTAATTGAAAGGAAAATATTGATTTCGTTGAACTTTTTTTTTGCACTGCGTCATCAAGTTTGAGAACACCTTTGTTTGTAGTGATGCGTTTACAACACTTTAATGTCGCGTCTTTGATATTGTTTGTTTTGTCAATCTTACCAAATACCAATTATGCTCTATTATGTATCTCCCATATTTCTATTGGTTTATTTTGTCACTATTTTCGTTTGCTTAAGTTATAATGTTTTGTAATGTGTAACGCATACATTTGAAGACAAATTATTATTATCATTAATATCTTCATTATCAATATTATTATTACATTATTAAAATGCAAAATTTGGAATTTGAAACATTGATATGCATACATCAAAACATAAATATTATTGACATTCTACATGCACTGTTGTCAACGGACACTTTAGACAATGCCTGAATGAGTGATGGATTGCTGACATGGGAGTTGCTTGACAAATTTTATTACATAACTTGCTACACTTTGCTTACGATCAGCTGCAACGACAAGGGGGATAATCCTGCTAGAGAACTACTCGATCAAGTATGGTCACAAGATAACCGAACTTTTAACGAGCTTAGCTCTAGGACATGCTTCATTAGCAGATGTACTATCTGACGAAGACAGGGCGGGAACTAAGTGTAATGCTTTGATTCAGACAGACGGTCGGGAGAAGGTGAAAACTTGAATTCATCTGTTCACAGCGTACAGACAGTGGGTGTCTAAAGCACTTCCTTTTTCATTGACTAATAGCAGGGGAGGTTAACACTGGGACTATACAAATGAGATTTTGGTATTAGCTGACTAGTGTAAAAGAGGTTACGTGTTTGTAAAGGGGGTATTGAACGGAACAGAAGGAAAGGAACGCTTATGTCTCGGTGTATTTCTTAAGGAATACGCATTAGAGTTCGACTAGTAATTGTAGAGCTACATCTCTCAGGTCGTCAATCTTGGATGAAATTAGAACTTCGCAACATGAAGCAATAAGAATAGTTGCTTAGACTTAAGGTTTTGTCATGTGAACAGATATATATTTAATGAAGCTATGTATTTTTAACAGAGATATAATTAGCATTTTTTTTTAAAACTCTTTTCACTTGTATCACTAAGTGATTTCATTATATAGTTGGCAACAGAATAGAACCTCCTTAACATTGTTTATTTTGTCTTTTTGTATCAAAATGTCTGTCAATCTTCTCCTGGTCATTTTCTTAGGTTTTGTTTTATATTCATTGATAGCGCCCTCTACATTCACCACATCGTAAAGGAGATGCACTCATAAAGTCAAACATATATCCTACTTTTAATAGAGTAGTTTAGGACTAAGTAAATGGTTAGTCGGAGATAGGCCTATAATTATTTTTTTTTTGCGGGGGGAAGGGAGGGTTAGAATTAAAATGATCGAATTGCTTTTTTTTTTCTCATTTATTTTTAATTGGCCGTCTGATTTTATGACGTCATCTTCAGCAAACATTTGAAAAAAAGATTTGTGTAAAAATGACATTGTTTTAATTCGGTGTTCTCCTGATGTCAGTTTAAATTCTCAAAGAACACGTCGGAAACACCTTGGTTGTCTAACTTAGTCTTAACACGAGCCTACTCCACGAGTCGAACCATGACACTTCCTGTTTCCTCTTTTTAACGCTGTCTTAGGCTGGTGTCAGAAAGAAGTTGTCAGGTACGCCATATGTCTATGCGGAGGTCACATGGGCATGGTCACGCAAATTTCCGCTTTCTGTTAAGAATACAATGTAAATCTTAGGACCCACCTCGGGGTCATTACCAGGTAAGGACAAAAACTACAACAAACACACTGGGACATCAGAGTGTAGTGGTCGTCATGGCAAAAAGAAAAAAATGAACTTTACTATTGATAATTATTTCCTCTATAAATTCTTAGTCAAGATTTTAAATATGAAATAAAAATTTTCTATTACTTTTATATATATATATATATATATATATAATCCATGTTTTTAAAGTTGAAATTCTTTGACTTTTGTGATGCTTATAAGTGAGGTTTTTAAAAAAAATATTTTTAGCATCCCGTTTAGAAACACAGCTGATGTGTTAATGTCATATGTTAACCCATTTGCCTGTCCGTTTCACTATCCATATGTCACAGAGATCAAAAGGTAAAAGTAATAGTGAACATTAGATTTTAATATCGCTTTCTGTTGTTTTTTTACCTTCATAAATCATAGTCTACCTAAAATAATGCAAGAACATTGCATGCACAAACGTATCTACTATTTTGTAATCTTGCTCTTGATGTAATAGCATAAAGGCTTTAAAAAGCAATCAGCATTGATCTATTCTGAATTAGTAAAAATAAAGTCATATACTTTCAGTTTTAATGGACTTTAGTTAAATATATATTCAATATTTCTGATCAATCTTCTATCTGCGTTTGAAAAAAAAAGGAGTTTGACCAAGTTATGAAAGGCTATTATGTAACAAATACAGACACACACACAAACAAACAAAATCGCCTTTGTTGTCTTTAGACTTTTTTTTGTGTTTTCATGTTGTTGTTTTTTAAGCACCTTCATCCATTGGGCTTTCGTTGACCTAATCTGAAAGTTTCAACACATCTCTGGTAAATATAAAACTTGAGACTATAAGATCTATTCTCTAGACAGTAGCGTCGCTACTAAGTCGCTAGTGGGTGAAAGAGGTGCGAAATGTAGCAGGTAACAGTCTGGAGTGTGATCAAAGTGGGGAAAACACATTTCCGATAATAACATTGACTACTTTTTACAAAATATGATTTGACAGTAGAAACGAGGGCAATGATAATGCAGCTACAATGTCTGGACTACATGGGCTAGTACGGAGGAAGCAATAAGAATCAAATAACTGACTTGATGTTTAACAAATCTGAAGTCAATAGAGCTTCAAAGAATTTCTACAACTCATTCTCTAAACCTTGAACTGTTTTTACCTCCTCAATGTCTGGGCCGTCGTGTGAAAAGTTTTTCAAAACTGAAGCTATTAAAAATTTTGAGAAAAACAAAATACACATGTAGTATTCAAAAACAAGTTGTGCAAAGTTTGAAAACCATAAAAAAAAAAATTTAATTTGTTAAACCCTTCTTTTTAATTCTTGCATATTTTTCTATTGCATATAACAATATAATATAACAAAAACAAAAAGTGTTTGCCATTCCAAAGAATTTATATAAACTTGCAATGTTTAATAAGTCATAAATATTTAACATTTCAAAATAGTTTAACGCACATGTGACAGTTGTGTGTGTGTGTGTGGAGCTACCCAGGCAAGGAAAACAAAAACAAAACGCCCAATACCAACCTGACCAAATGTCCAAGCTCTAGGCTCAGACCTACACACTGCATAGGGTGAAACGATGAAACCTGCCAGTAAATAATGAGCTGTAAAATGACTTCATCATAATTTCTCAGACAAAGCGACTGCACGATTGTTTCTCTCTATTACTGTTTGATGTTAATCTGTTGGCAGGTCATTTTGGTTGTCTTTCTTCGTTAGAAAATAAATAGTTATTTCAGCTAAAATTCAGCTTGAGCCTAAGGTATGTATGTCTGAAATGAACAAGAATCTTACAGAATAACATTTCTAGTTATTAGGTCATCACTTTTAACAGTATCCGCTTTTCTGAGTATTTCTATTTTCAGAAGAAAAACAAGACTACTGACACACAGTGCAGGTTTGGCTGGAAGCTGATTGAAAGACCATTGAGCATTATGTCGCTTTGATCTCTCTCACAAGCCACACAATAGGAGGGACAGGAAGATCAATAATGAACTGATCTTATCTGCATGTATCTTCTTTCACTATTTCAGTCCCCAGCTAATCACACTTAACGTGACGTAGGACCACGTGATTAGGTCAAGAAGTAAATCTTCTTTTAGAAGATACACCCCAGTTCAATTATTGACACGTTCTATTGAACAACCAGAGAGAATGACCCCGCGCGGGCCTTCAAGCATAACTTTGATGTACGCTACAGACCAATACCGAACTTAAAGATCATTTTCAGATTTGGACAGTAGCTGGACACAAGACGTGAGAAAGTTGAACTTGAAAGTAATCTTCAAACTGGAGACTTACAGACACGACAGAAAGCAGTACCGTTAGACCAATAGAACATAGTTTTATGATACTTGCAGTAGATCGTCACGTGAGTTCCAGACTGTCCGTTCTTCGAAGCAGGACGTTTTGGCGCCGCCGTTTTGGCACAAGCGACGTTATGTACGTTTATTGTATTATTTCTTTAAAAAGAATTATGCATATCTATGTTTTGAATGAGTGTTTGTGTTAAGACATATTTTTCACGTACAGAAGAAATATTTGTGTTAGCTATTTTTGGTATTTAATTTTGTTATTTAATTATTGTTAAATCTCTAACACCAGGCTGCCATCCATACTTCACAGTATGCATGCATGAAATAATTAAAATTATTAAGTTATAAGACTTTTTTTCGTGGGAGCGGGGGGGGGGGGGGGGTAGAATATATATTTTGTTTGTCTCGGTATAAAATAGTGAAAAAATCTGTTTGTTATACATTTGTAAACACATTTTTAAGTGAAACATTAGTAGCTTTCGTAAATTATATATGTTACTAGATACTATTATAATAGTGAATTCAATGGCTCAAGAAGGTTATTAATTATTGTAAGTTAGTATATTTAATGTCCCCCATATAGAGCCTCATGTAGCCTGTCCAATCATAGTGTGTTTACATAGCGGTGTGCACGACACATGAATGAGCTTATTAAAATGCTTGTCAACATGGAAGCTACAGCGAACGAATGTATGAAAAATACTTTAGAAACACAAATTTGAGGGTTAATTTGATTAAAATATGAAATGAATGGACTTTATTTTGTATGTTAATGTGTTAAAGTATAAAGTAGATCTTTCCTCTTTGAATTAGATCTAGAATTAGAGTTAGATCTAGACTGTCTAGGGTCTAGACTTTGAAGTCGGCTTCGATAGATAAATGGGATTATAAACTACGTCAGGACTTCTAAATTCTTAGATAAAAGGAACGAATTTATGTAAAAATGCTTTTGAAAGACAAATGTGAAGCTTAATTTTTATTAATTATGAAATCAATAGACTATATTTTGTATTTTCGTGTGTCAAAGAAAAAAAAATATCTGTGCAAAGTGTAGTTTTAAAAATTAGATGTAGATCTAGATCCTTTCGATCTTGTCTCATGAAAACATGATAAGCATGGCCTAGATCCATAAAATAGGAATACTTTCATAGAGTTGGGCAACTTTTTTTTTGAGGGTCTTAAATTTGTTTTAGGGCTACTATACATACGTCACGGTTCCAGTTAGTACCAAAGGAACATTTTTGCCACGTTTTATCAAGATTGGTCAAACGTTTTTGATATCTATTCGTAACATACATACATACATACGCCTTAATTTCTACTTTATAGCATAAAGAGATTTGAGTAATTATTTTTAATATCTGCTCCTAAAACCTTTTTTTATATGTGAGCTAGAACAAGTCCATTAATCAATGTGACTTATCATTTACTACATGTAAATGTGTGTTTGTGTTTAACATCATTTTCATTAATAAACATTTTGGCTTGTGTATTTATTAAGAGGCACATTTTTATTTTCAAAAAACTTTTGTTTACATTAAAATTAAAAACAAAAACAAAATGAAACGATGATAGACAAACAAATGGATGCAATTATTTGTTAACATTAACACATTGGTTTATTTAATGACTCCATCTATATATACTACACATTTGCTAATAATAAGTAAAAATATAATACATGAACCATCTTTCTCAAAATACTAAAGTTAAGTATGCATAGACACCATGGTTATTTGCCTAAGTCACTGGAATTCAAGAGTCCATTAAAAAGTTGTGTGGAAGTCCCTTGAGGTATTCAACTG